TTTTTTTTTTTTTTTTTTTTTTTTTTTTTTTCAAAGACTGGTCTTTCCTTATCCTTGCAAGTCTCTTTCTTCTTCTTCTTCTTCTTCTTCTTTGACTTCTTCTTCTTCTTTGACTTCTTCCTCTTCTTCTTCTTTGACTTCTTTGACTTTCTTCTTCTTCTTCTTCTTCTTCTTTTCGTACCCCTTTTCTTATCCTTGCAAGTGTGGATTAATCTGCATGTGACCGTTGGTCGGCGGTTTTAGTGTTGTCAACAACATCTTTGCTGACTTGGCTTGCTGTTCACATCAGTCTCAGATGGGACATTGGGAAGGACTGCCGTCCTCCCCCGATCAAACCGCACCCTGAAAATGAACGTATACAATGTATGTTTCCGGCCCTCTAAATAATATATATGATATATATATAATATATATATATATATCGTATTGCTTTATATGTTTTTCTGGCCCGGCTGGGCATGTGGTCCTTGAACTCTTCCCCCAGATGAAGCGGGTATCTGGCAGCGGCTGAAACTAGTGGGGGACAGCCAGGCCCTATCCCTTCGATGGGGTTTGAGGCTATGGCACTTTTGTGCTCAACGCCGCTTATCTTGAGACTTGAATTGAATTGAGTTTCTAGCCACGTTTTTTTTTTTTTTTTTTTTTTAAACACAACTTTCAATGAAGACCGGGAAGCCCGGCGTGCCTTACTTGAGAACTGCAGCCATACTGGGCAGAGAAGGCACTCCCGGCCAATCTCATCCCGAACCACAGTCACCCCACCGCTGAGACCCCGGGCCCCCCAGTATCATAAGTCTTAAGTAGTAAAAAGACAAAAGAAAACAGAAAACCGAAGAAAACTAAAAAAGAAAATGGGAAATCCGCCACTAGGTTTTTTAACATACTGTGCCGTGCGTATCACGGGGTGTTGGACTCTCTGTTTTCGTTGGCTTTCAATTAAGACCGGGAAGCGGGGATGTTTTTTTTTTTAACACAACTTTCAATAGGTTATGTGAATATAATATTTTGCTCTGTTTTCAGTTTTCCTGCTGGCTTTGCTTTTTTCTCATTGGTTTTGGGCTCTCTGTTTTCGTTGCCTTTGCATTTAACTGCCGTTTAGTTAAAATATTTTGCTGGCGTGATGAAAGTAATCTTCGCAGGGTGTTGGGATTCGATCAATGGCATCCCCCAATGAGTGAACGGACCATGTTGCAGTTTAATCATCGTCCAATGAACGCATGCTAATCTGGTCGTATAAGCGTCCTGATACATCCAAAAGACTCGATTCAGAGCATGTAAGATTGGGGACGTAGTATCCGTGATACATCCAAAAATCTGGCCCAATCGTTCAGGAAAAAAAAAAAAAAAAAAAAAAAAACCCTCAATTTCGTCACGCCAGCAAAATATTTCAGTTCGAACTAAAAGGCAGTTATTTGGTTTTATTTTATTTTTCTGCCTTCCTTGTCCGTTATTTTTAGTGAAAACTCAAATTTAACTAAATGAAGAACTAAATAGTGTACAACTCATGAGTTTGGGCGGCCTCGGATGCTTAAAAGCGATTTCATCAAGATGGACATAATTTATTTATTTTTGGAACGAAATTGAAAATCCAAAGTGGGGCCAAAATTTCACGAAACGTTGGGTACAGAACGCCGTAGCCCCTGGATGTATGTGGACTTTTGCTGAGTCCAGATACATCAAGGGGGTCGTGCAAAAATGTATGTTTGGCAGCAGCTTTCCGGGTCCATCAAGTTTCCCAGCAAAAATGTCGCTCTTTTTTTCAGGACTTAGACAGCATAGGACCCGTCCGCCTCTGGCCTCAGGGACTCAGGGACTCAGGCCGGAGGCCAGAGACCCACAATCAGGCGAGTAGCGGTACCGGCCTGGACCAAAACCGATTGTCAATGGCCCGAAATGGTACCGGCCATTTGATTTTCCCGATTTTTTCCCGTTTGCACTCAGCCGAGTGACGTTCAAAAAATCCGAATGTGTGAACCCTCCCTCCCAACGCGCGCACGTGGCAAGCAGGGAAGCACGATGAAGCTGCTTGTGTGTGTGTGTGTGTGTGTGTGTGTGTGTGTGTGTGTGTGTGTGAGAGAGAGAGAGAGAGAGAGAGAGAGAGAGAGAGAGAGAGAGACACCAGCTTCTCTGTTTCGCACTGCTACTTTNAGAGAGAGAGAGAGAGAGAGAGACACCAGCTTCTCTGTTTCGCACTGCTACTTTCATTTCGACATGTATCAAGCCGAGTGTACGCGCTGGATTCAGTCGAACTGATTCTAGCACAAAGATGTGGCCAGGTTCGTCCTGAAATGCTCGTATAGCACACACACACACACACACACACACACAGAGAGAGAGAGAGAGAGAGAGAGAGAGAGAGAGAGAGAGAGAGAGAGAGAGAGAGGTCTGGCACGTGGCATGGCGTCCGAAACAGAGAAGCTGGCACCTGGCATGGTGTCCAAAACAGAGAAGCTGGTGGCTCTCTCTCTCTCTCTCTCTCTCTCTCTCTCTCTCTCTCTCACACACACACACACACACACACACACACAAGCAGTTTCACAGTGCTTCCCTCAGTTCCCTGCTTGCCACGTTCGCGTTCAGATTTTTTTTATTTTATTTTTTTCTATATTCTTCTCTCAACTTCTGTTTCTTTTACCTTCCACTACCTACTCCTAAGACTATCTAGAGGGGACCCCTGCAAGCATAGTTTCCTCTCCCTGTGAAGGGGAGATTTCATGTTGCCCCTTGGGGTATAGGGTTGGGGCCGCCAGTGGGGGTCTGGCTAACACAAAGACCGAGACCTGCCAGTAGCTGTGCCTCCCTTTTCTTTTGAACATCACTCGGCTGAGTGCAAACGGGAAAAAAAAGGGAAAATCAAATGGCCGGTACCTTTTCGGGCGGGATAATTGGTAGAAAGAGCCCACGCCAAAACCTTGGGTTTTGGCCGCCCAAAGTTGGGCCGTTTGGTACTACCAGCCCAAACAACTTTCCCCTGGGTTAAAGGCGCCTTGGAGCGGTGGCCACATCTCCCTGGGCCTGTTTTTACCGGTTCAAGAATTTGGCGCAGTTTCTGTGCCAGATTCATGAACCTGTAGGGGCCTTATTTTTCAAAATCGCGTATGTGGGCCTCGTTTGATACTTCAGCATTACCACCCCTGGTCTCTTTTACATCAAAATGAATCTCAGACTGGCGCTGTTATGTGCCAGATTCATGATCCGGTAGGACCCTTGGAGCGACGCGTGGGCCTGTAGTACCCCACATGCAAGTCATTGGGCCGGTATACCAAACGGCTCGACTTTGGGCGGCCAAAACCGAAAAGGTTTTGGCGTGGGCGCGCCTTCTACCGATTATCCCTTTTCGGGCCATGGACAATCTGTTTTGGTCCAGGCCTGTACAGCTACCGGCCTGATTGTGGGTCTCTGGCCTCAGGCCTGAGTCCCTGAGTCCCTGAGTCCCTGAGGCCAGAGGCCGATGCGTTCTATGCTGTCGAAGTCCTGAAAAAAAGAGCGACATTTTTGCTGGCAAACTTGATAGACCCGGTAAAGCTTCTGCCAAACATACATTTTTGCAAGGGGAACTTGGATCTGACGATATTTTTTGGCTGTAGAGCTTCGGAAACACAATATTTTTGCAATTAACCCTTAAAAGATTGTTGGGTCATCTTCGCATGGGCCTTGAACGTCAACGCACTCACATGCAGGAACCGATAGAACCGGCTCGTGTCGTGGCTTGTGCTCTCAACAGGTTTGCCAGTGGCGAATAGTATGATCGGGTGGGTGGCAGATTCCGTATGGGCCATGCCACCGCAATAGAATGCACTCGGCGTGTGACCCGAGAGATACTGGACAATATGTTGGGTCTCATCGCATATCCAGACGCAGAGCGGATGCCACAGACCATTGCCAAATTCGCTCGGGAAGGTTTCGCAAACTGCATTGGTGCAATTGACTGCACACACTTCTTCATCGAGAAACCAGACAATGAGAGGGCCACGGACTACTACGACCGGAGTGGCCAGTATAGCATTGTGGCACAGTGTGTGGCCGACATGGATTTAAGAATCCTCAACTTTAATGTCGGATGGGCCGGGAGTGTCCATGACTCCATGACATTAGAGTGCTTCGGAGGTCACAGCTCTACACTCGGGCGACATTTGAAGGGTTCTTCTCCAACACAGCATAGCGATTAGACAACGGGCCAAGGGTAAACCAGTACCTCATAGGTGATGCTGGGTAGCCTAACCTATCCTGGCTGCTGCGACCATTTTGGGGCCAACCGCAAGGGGACCGTTTGCGGTTCAATGACACACATGAATCTGTGTGGAAGTATGATGTTCATGTCCACCAGTGCAAACAGTGTAATGCTTTGATCTCTCTCTCTCTCTCTCTCTCTCTCTCTCTCTCTCTCTCTCTCTCTCTCTCTCTCTCTCTCTCTCTCNCACACACACACACACACACACACACACACACACACACACGCACACACACACACACACACATGTATCAAAGCTTTTCTGCCAACTTAGCGAACACATCAATCAACCTCCAAATGTTTGCTATGTCTGCATCAGCACGCCGATCTTCAATCTCCAGGCGACGATTTTCCATGTCCAAGCGGCATTCATCGAGCTCCACCATCTTCTCCAACACTTTGACTTGTCTCTCACCATTCTTCTTGTTGGGTCATCTTCGCATGGGCCTTGAACATCAACGCACCCACATGCGAGAAGCGATAGAACCGGCTCGTGTCTGGGCTTGTGCTCTCAACAGGTTTGCGAGTGGCGAATAGTATGATCGGGTGGGTGACAGATTCCGTATGGGCCATGCCACTGCAATAGAATGCACTCGGTGTGTGACCCGAGAGATACTGGACAATATGTTGGGTTTCATCGCATATCCAGACGCAGAGCGGATGCCACAGACCATTGCCAAATTCGCTCGGGAAGGTTGCACAAACTGCATTGGTGCCATTGAATGCACACACTGCTTCATCGAGAAACCAGACAATGAGAGGGCCACGGACTTCTACGACCGGAGTGGCCGGTATAGCATTGTGGCACAGTGTGTAGCCGACATGGATTTAAGTATCCTCAACTTTAATGTCGGATGGGTCGGGAATGTCCATGACATTAGAGTGCTTCCAAGGTCACAGCTCTACACTCGGGCGACATTTGAAGGGTTCTTCTCCAACACGGCAGTGCGATTGGACAACGGGGCAAGGGTAAACCAGTACCTCATAGGTGATGCTGGGTACCCTAACCTATCCTCGCTGCTGCAACCATTTCGAGGGCAACCGCAAGGGGACCGTTTGCGGTTCAATGACACACATGAATCTGTGTGGAAGTGTGTAGAGCTCAGTTTTGGCCGGCTAAAGGGTATGTGGCGAGTGTTGTACAAGCGCCAAAAGGGTGACATCGATCTCATCCCCGACCAGATCAYGGCAATTGCAGTGCTACACAACTTCTGCGTTGATGGTAATGTGTACTTCAATGTGGACCGCTTCATGCGCATACATCGTAATTTGTGTGTGTGGAATCAACAGCCGCGAGATGGTGAAGACACCGACATAAATGACCAAAGCAGAGACGATGCTAGAGAAGCTATTGTAGGCCACTTGGCGGCGAGAGCAGCCAGGCGCCAATAGGCTTAGATGCTCGTAGACAAATAATAAGTTTCGTTCGCATCTGTTCCATCGTGTTTGGATTTCGGATTGATGTCATACGATGAAAACATTCGCTCATTTCAGTTTCATGGATGTTCATGTCCGCCAATGCAAACAGTGTAATGCTTTAATGTCTCTCTCTCTCTCTCTCTCTCTCTCTCTCTCTCTCTCTCTCTCTCTCTCTCTCTCTCTCTCTCTCT